CCTCTCAACTATTACTAATAAGATTTAATTGTTAACAGCAAAGCCACAAAACACACGATAAAACACAAGTCAAACAACTGAAGTTCTACGCTCACCTAATTATGCATGTGAATGAGAACAGCATAAAGGAAATGGTGCACACACCGCAGAACAACTTCGTCCCGATTCCAGCGTACGAAGTGAAGAATGATACTATTTTTGGAAAGTGAAAAACACATTAATTTGAACAGCCAAGAAAAAAATTGCAATTTATTAAGATTCAACAAAGCGTTGTACTTTTGAAAGCAACTTTCGGTGCATGTTCTTCAACAATCACATTCTATGAGGAAAAACATTAAGAGCCACAAACTTGTTTTTTAATCTCAGAGTTACAGACATCTTAAATTCAAAATAAAGGTAAAAAACAAAAAAACAAACCGAACAAAATCTGAAAACAAACATATTCTTTACTTCCATCTCCAATTTTAAAACATCAGGAGTTTTTCTATAACTCAACACTAAATGGCAGCACGGGAAGCTGAATGTCGGGGTGCACGCACGGCACGCGTACCCCCGTTGCATATTCGCTGTACACACGCGGTGTATGTACGTCAAATACACAGAATGCAGGTAATGGCAAAGAGACGCAGCCACTCCGAGGAAGGCTCGTTCAGCTAAATACACTACTAAACTCGAGAAAAAAAGTCTTGAACCCAGTTTGTGCATAGTTCATGATCCTCTATAAAACCAGCTTTTGTGGATCTGCAATCCTGCAGGACCTTTTTTTTGTTTTTTGTTTGTTTTGTTTTGATAAAACCATTAAAAAGCTAATTAAAAAAAATGTAATGCACAAGTTTCCTGATCAAGCAGGCAGGGAGCACAATGTTCATATATATTTTTAAAACATACTTGAGGGTATGTTATTCCATTGTCTGTCTTTCTTGCAAAACAATCAAAACATTGATCATTTTTAAAACATAAAGCAATTTTTAATATATAAAGCACTCTTCAAACATCTATTTTTTTTTGAGTCCATTATTTGGTAAATATGTAACTGCTACACATTAGAGATTAGGTATTTTTCTTCTTTGTCTTTTTTTCTCTTTTTTTCTTTTTTTCTTTATTTTTTTATTTTTATTTTTTTAATAACATCTTCAGTGCTAGGAGTTGGGTGTAAAAATACATGAAATGGTGTGGAGCTGCCCTCGGGAGCCCTGGCTTTCCTGAGAGCGTGTCCGGCATGTGCAAGACAGTGGCCACGACGCCTCGTCACTGTGACGAAGGGCGAATGCAACCGGCAGAGTCCACGCCGCCGCCGCCGAGGGGACAGCACTGTCCAATCCCAGAGCTCTGAAGTAGCGCATCTGCATTCTGAAAATAGGTTTCTTTACGACGGAAGTCTTTTTTTTTTAAATTCCTTTTTAATTTTTTTTTTTTTAAATTTAAAGTCTGAAGAAGAAAAAAGGTCTGTAAACAGGTGGGAGCCCAAACCGTGGACTCCTCCAAAAGCAGTCACAACCCACGTCCAAGTGCTTGTTTCTGTTCCTCCCGCGGAACCATCCATTCTTTACAAGTATCTATGGCCACAGTTCAACAACAGTTTTTTTTCTCTTTAACTTTATATTCCAAATGGAAAACTGGTGCAATACTCTGGTAATAATTTTCTTGCATTAGTCCACAATAAAAAGCTGCTAAAGGTAGGTATACATATTATTTCTCCAGAGATATACACTGTAATTTTTAAACGCAATAACAGAGTCCTTGAGTAAACATTTACACATGAATTGTCACCAGCCCTGTCCTATGAATTCTCTTTAACGTATAGGATTAGCTGAAGGGAGGGCAGGGACACTCAGTGCAAAGTTAGAAGCTAATAATAATAATAACAAACATTTGACCAATGCGCCAGAAAGAAGCATATACTGAATAAAAGGGAAACCCACAGTTAAATCCCTCACACGCTTGCAAACACACCAACACAGAATGCGTGCCGTGCAGAAGCACGCACTGCACGCGTGCACACACACGCACACACACACACTTCTATTTTAACACACACACATAGGCGATGAACTTAGAAATTTTCCTAGAGCCTGTTTCTGTGTACTGATGTCAACCTGGAAGTGTAGAATTAGACTTAGAAAGTGTTCACATTTGTTATTGGCCTGCTGGATTCAAGTATTTGCATGTTTGATATGTCTTTTTTTTTTTTAACTTTTAAAAAATATTTTTTTTGGGATAAAAAAAAATGACATGAAAAAGTAATGAAACAAGGGTAATGTGCATAGGCGGATGTGGGTGAGCAGAGAGCAGGTCACAGACCGCCCCTTCGCCGCGTTCCCGCCTGCGGAGCCGCGCTCTGCGCCCGGCGGTCCATGCCAGACTCTGCCCGATGCCCAGCCGCCTCTGGTAATGTGCATAATCGTCACAGGCTCATTTTAAATAGGCTTCATGTCTCCCTCCCTCCCTCCCCATGATAAAATAACCCTTTCCAGCCCACAATCTGAAAAGTGCCCTTCATGATACAACTATTCTAAGCAGCTTTTATACTTAAAAAAAATCAAAATGACAACATACCATACAAACATAAGACACAAAATAAAAAGCTATGAGGAACATCCTGTCGTTAGCATGTGACACTGACCAAAAGCAGCCCGCACTGTTGCGTGAACAGTTCACAAGGACCGCGGCCAAGGTTCGTCTTCAGTACTGGACAGAGGTACTCAAAGGGCCCCTGCTTGAGTCCAGCAGGGCTGCGCCACCATGGCTGGAAAGGGCCAGCTCTCTCTTGGTGCGGATGATTGTGGCTCCTAGAGGGACTCCCCGCTGAGCAGGTCCCCAGGCAGCAGAGTGGTCAACGGGGTGGGACTACCAATCACCCTGCCATCATCGGCACTGGGTGGGCCCCACAGGCTGCTTGAGTACTGGGGCCCCCCACCCCATAGCAGCTCGCTGCCCCCCTTGCCTCCCAGGCATGGGGCACTCCAGTGGCCGGCATCGCTTCGCACCAGGCCGTGGGAGCTGCCCGAGGCACCCAGCCGGGGCTGGCTGGAGGCACTGCTAGACTGCCAGCTGGAGGTGGGTGGCAGTGCTTGGCCTTGGGCTAAGAACCGATTCACTTCTTCTTCACCAGCAAACTCGGCCAGGATGGTAGTGTTTCCCAGGACACACCTGCAACAGGAAGACATGTCACATGAGTGGTACCCCCAGTCCTTCAGAGTGCAGCGCTGGTACTCTCTGTGATGGGACAGGCCTCCCAGGGATCGTCCCGTGACTTACATTCTGCCATGGCTATTTCCAAGCTCATACTATGAATTTTCTCTCTCTCTCTCTCTTTTTTTTTTTTTTTTTTGAGACAGAGCCTCAAGCTGTCACCCTGGGTAGAGTGCTGTGGCATCATAGCTCACAGCAACTTCCAACTCCTGGGCTCAAGCAAGTCTCCTGCCTCAGCCTCCCAAGTAGCTGGGACCACAGGCGCTCGCCACAACACCTAGCTATTTTTTTTTTTTTTTTTTGGTTGCAGCCATCATTGTTGTTTGGTGGCCAGGGCTGGATTCGAACCTGCCACGTTAGGTGTATGTGGCTGGCACCTTAGCCACTAGAGCCACAGGCGCCGAGCCTCTCATTTTTGAATTATGTAACAGCTTTATCAGGTATATAGAGTACATTTTTTTTCTCTCTTTTTTGGGTTCTTGCTCTGTTGACCAGGCTGGAGTGCAGTGACACTATCATAGCTTAGTGCAGTCTTGAATTCCTGGGCTCAAGTGAAACGCCTGTCTCCCAAGTAGCTGGGACTGTAGGTGCCACCACTGTGCCCAGCTAGAGTACATTTCAAGTGCATGAACATACAATTAACTAACTTGGGGATCATTTATCATCAGTATAATTTGCATCATGGGCTAAAAATAGGAATGACTAAATTCCAGGTCCCACATCTCAAGTACAGTTTCTGAGTAAGAACGCTTATATACACACCACCTCAAAAGCATCCTTCCGTTAGGGACAGGGCTTGGCCAGAGGGTCACTGCTGGGCCTTGCCTGGTAAGCGTGCTTCCTTCCTACCATCAGGCCCTGTGTGGACGCTCTGTGGAGCCTATCCTGGTGCGGGGCATGGCAAGGCAAACTCAGCAGCAGGAAAAACCCACCTGGCTAGACACCCATTGGGAGCTGACCTGCTCCATCCATGTACTGAAGTTCTGACCCAGTACCTCAGCCTGAGAATGCATTTGGAGATGGGGCTTTAGAAGAGGTAGTGAAGTTACCAAGGGGGTGGGCCCTGATCCAGTCTGACTGGGGTTATTGTAAGGTTCAGAGATCAAGACACAGCCATGCACAGAGACACACCTGCTTAGACCCAGAGAGAAAGTGGTCGCCCACAGCCCAGCCAAGCACACAGGCCTCAGCAGAAACTAAGCTTGCCCATGCCTGGGTCTCGCACTTCTAGCCTCAGAACTTATGGAAACACATGTGTTGTCTAAGACGTCCAATGGGTGTACTTTGTTACGGCAGCCCCCGGAAACTCACACAGCACCCTAAACCTAACACTCTGGAGACTGGCAGCTGCAAGTATGAGACACATACATGTGCAGAGACTTCTGGGCCTTGGCAGCTTCCTCCTTGGAGCTGTACCGGACCACAGCATTGCCTTGAGTCAGATTCAGGTGGAATGTGATGAGAGGCCCATGTTGCAAACACAATGTCCGCAGTGTAGAACCATCAATCTGATTGAGGAAGCACAGAAGCAGTGAGCTCTGCTCTCATTTCTTTCACTGCATTCTTCAAAGCAAGGCATATGAAATCAGATGCACTAAACACTAGGTAATCATCTTTCCTTAGAAGGGCTTAGTAACAGGTGGCTTCACGGCATTAACATCTTATACTCTGTGGCTGAATTAAGCTAATCAGAGGAAGGAGAAAAAGCCCATTTGGGTTCTGCTCTCCCTTACCACGCAGCACTTTTGGTTTGCAAAAGGCGCCAGGGCTTGGCTGCTGACAGTGGACTTAGGAGCTGTGCAGGTCGGCAGAGCAGGGAGGGACCGGCTGGCGCACAGCCTGAGTTGGCCAAGTGACTCTGGAATGGGTGGTTGTAAGGCCAGTGGCGCACCAGTGCTTTTCTAGCCTTGGGTAGGCAGGTCAGCACCTCCCCAGGAACATGTGGACGATCCTGGCACTCCCTCATCTTCACTGAGGGCTACTCACTTCTGGACCCTTTTCAGATCACACACAGTGACACTGTGGGCAGTGTCACCCCCCCACCCCCACCTCCAGTGCCCGTACCTGGGGAGTGAGGTTTCGAAGAACGAGCCAGCTGCTGGTCCTTCCTGAGGTGTCGGTGCTCCAAGCAGAACCTGAGCAGCAAGTGGGGAGAGCTCCACTGACGGGGCTGGGGGGCAGATGGCACAGCCCCTCCCTGGTCCCCAAGCCTGCCCAAAGCGCATGGCAGCACAACTGGCCCTGTGCTCTGGGACAACCTTTCTCAACCTCTGAAAACTCACTGCCCCATGGGAACCCTGACTTGCCGGACCTTCCCGCCAGCCCAGGAGACCGTGTTTCCCTGTCGGTGCCTGAGGTGTGTGCTCAGGAGTGAGAGGGTTGCCAAGGAAGGTCTGGCCCCACCTCTGCTCACCCCTGGCTCCATGTAAGGAATGAATGCTCTGTGATTCTACTGTTAATAAAACAATAAATCCACAAGGGCTGCTATTAAAAGGGTGAAAAACAGTTATTTTCAAACTACCTGTAGCCGATTTAAAACATTAATTTCTTAAATTCCAGACCATTTCTTCCATCCCTAAGGTTTCGCATGTGGCACCTGAGGGAAGCCTACAGAGCTACAATATTCTGACAGAGTCACGGTTTTCCGATTGGTGGGGTTTGTTTTATTTTTAGCCTATAAAGGCCTGTACTCCAATGAAAGCTTGTGCAGAAGCAGATATAAAAAGTAGAAATTGAGCCCTTGTGCTGGTTTATGAGGCACCGAGGGGAGGAAGCCTAGAGGGGTACACCAGCCTCCCCGAGGGCCCAGAGCATAGCAACAGCACTGCTGAAGATGGAGGCAGCTGGGGTAGGCAGATCTGAACATGGTTCACCTGGCCAATGCCTGAGAAGTCTGGGGCAGTCCTGGCTCCCTCCCAACCCTCACAGGCTCCAGGAATGAAGATGAGAGTCTCTCCAGAGACAACGTGAGGGGCATGGAGCTTACCCGAGGAGTAGGAGCTGGTCCAGCCAAGGGGGCTGGCGCCCCAGGTGGAGGAAGGCTTGGGGTTGGCTAGCCCTGGAGGTGGCCTTGTGGGTGCAGTAGTGTTTCTGGGCACCTTCCACAGTTCGTGAGACAGAGAGGCTTGTGTGTGGGAGGCTGGGCCCGAGGACCATGTCGATTTAATGTCTGACAGTTTACCTAGAAAGGCAGAGAAATGGACCATATGCATTCTTGAGACAGAGAACAGCCCAAGTCCTAGGTGTGTTTAGGGACCCATCCAGAGTGCCTCTGACACCAGCAGACCACGGTAAAAGAGGTAAAGCTCCTCTAGGTGAGACCAAGGGGCATACTCTTTAATCTCCATCCAGAGCCACAGTCTGCCTATGTCCACTGTAGACTCTGTTGGTATTTCTGACACTTAACTTGCTAAATGTACCAGACACAAATCTGCCATCGGAAAAGCAGTATTTTCAAAGGTCAACTTATCAACCTATTTTTACTGGGGCATATCTTAAAATGTAACAAATAAGTCAAGGCCAAAAGCATAACACACACACACATCCTATTTCTCGCCGTTCCTCTGAGTATTAGCTCCCTTTTGAAGCTGTGCTTTGTCTGACATAGTCATGCCTATCCATCTACCACTGCTCTTGTCCACAGCTCCTAGAGATGCTCTCTGTACATCAAATTGTGGAAAAGGGACGTGGCCCAGGAATCCTGAGGCTAAGGTTTGGCATCTCGGCATGTTGTTTGAGGAAGCACTATTTTAAGGCTCTTTGGAAAAAACAACAAAACCACTAACCACCACCGGCCCCAGCCCGGACCCTTGCACACCTGATTCCACTGGCCTAGAGGCCCAGCAGGCAAGGCTAGAAGCACAAGCAGCACAGTGTCCACTGTCCCTGTGTAATCCCATGTCCCTTTCTGGGACAGTATAGCAGGGACCAGGCCTGCTATATGTGATCCCATATGTACTTGGGAGGGACCCTCCAAACCTGGTTCCTGGAGGTAACTGACTTCAAAATGAATACTCAGCTTAGAAAGGTGTCATTGGTTAGAAAAAGAAAAATGCCATAAAAAACTGCCTTCAATTTAGGAAAGAAAACTTTGCCCTTTCTCTTAGCCAAATGATCATGAAAATACTAAAGGTCTAAATACACCCCCCTTTGTAACACTAGAAGAAATAAAAATAATCCAGAAGTTCTTTTTTTCTTTGTTTGAGACAGAGTCTCACTATGTCCCCTTGATAGAGTGCCGTAGCATCACAGCTCACAGCAACCTTCAACTCTTGAGCTTAAGCAATTCTCTTGCCTCAGCCTTCCAAGTAGCTGGACTACAGGCGCCCACCACAATGCCCAGCTTTTTTTTTGTTCCAGTTGTCACTGTTTAGCAGGTCTGGGCTAGGTTCGAACCCGCCAGCCCCAGCGCGCCTTAAACTGAGCTATGGGTGCCGAGCCATTCATTTTGTTTTTTAAAATAAGATGCTAACTTACATTAAGACTTTCTCCCCTCAGTATGGGTATTAGAAGAATTCATATAGAATTCTTACACTGGTTTTAAAACAATGTAGATAAGAGGGTATGATGGAATACAGAAATATATCTGAAGGACTTTATAAACAAAGTCCTTATTTAAGTTCTGTATTTATTAACAAATATGTTACATATTTTGTGTCTATATCTCTTTATATCTTTTGTCTTAAAAATTTCAGATTCAAATTCTTCTGAATTTTTATGATAAATGATTCCAAATTCTCCTCTAAGCCTGAAAGGTATTTCACATTTGAAAGCCTTGCACGGTCTATGGCAATATGGAAATACTTCAGATAAGACATTTATCCAGGAATGGAGATCAGTTGGGCTCTGGGTGCTGGGTGTTATTATTATTATTTTTTTTTTGAGACAGAGCCTCAAGCTGTCCCCCTGGGTAGAGTGCTGTGGTATCACAGCTCACAACAACCTCCAACTCCTGGGCTCAAGCGAGTCTCCTGTCTCCGCCTCCCAAGTAGCTGGGACCACAGGCGCTCGCCACAACGCCTGGCTATTTTTTGGTTACAGCCATCATTGTTGTTTGGTGGCCTAGGCTGGATTCGAACCCGCCACCTTAGGTGTATGTGGCTGGCGCCTTAGCCACTTGAGCCACAGGCGTTGAGCCTGGGTGCTGGGTGTTAATGGCAAGACCTGCTGTGGTCTCTTGCATCCCTTACTCCAAATTCAACAACAGGTTCTACTCCTCTTAAGTTTAAAGCCCGCACGCCCCCTGCCCTGTAGCCATGGGGAGTAAGGAAGAGGGGAGGCAGCCTCAGGGGAGATACCGTCACTCCACTCTGCACGCAGAAAGCAGACGCACCCCAGGTACGGGGTTGGGGGGGCTGTTCTGAGGCAAAGCCCATGCCCCTTCTCCTTAACACAACAAGGCCTCCCAGTTCAGGGAGTAAACAGAACACCAGGAAAACTGGGGGCCTGTCAGAGTTTGTCTGGGGAAAGAAAGAAAAGCTACCTGCAAGTGGAGAGGCTGGTCGCGTACCTGCAACACTAGGTGCGGATGCGATGCTGCTGAAAGAGCTACTGTAGCCGGAGGCACTGAGCGGCCAGGCACTCGAGGAAGGCAGCGTGGCATTCTGAGATGACGGTGGGGAGGACCCTGCAGAACCAAACGCGGACTAAGCGAGGTGGGCAGGAGCCTGCGGGTCAGCAACCCCAAGAGGTATAGTGCCCTAGTGTCATAATAGCACACAGTAACCTCGAAGTCTTGGGCTTAAGTAATCTCTCAGTTTTTCTATTTTTTAGTAGAGACAGGCTCTCACTCTTGCTTAGGCTGGTCTTGAACTCCTGAGCTCAAGCTATCCACCCTCCTTTGCCTCCCAGAGTGCTGGGATTATAGGTGTGAGCCACTGAACCCTGCTTGGGGCGTTGAGACTCTTAATAATCAAGAACGAATTTGTCAGCTGCTAATTTGACAGAAGCCTGAAAATGGAACTGTGATGTGGGAGGGAAGACACAATCACAGCTCCTATTTGGAGTCCCTGCAGCCATATGGGGAGGCTGGGATATTTCTGAAGGCCAAGGAAGTGGAGGGTAACATATAGCATGAATTCTGAGAAGAGAATTGCCAGAATGTTTAAAATACCATGTCAGAGTTTTAAGGATCGCGTTGATCCCCCCCTTCAAATAAGATGAAATAAAAACAAAACTCTAAGATTTTTATTATAAAATTTGCCACAAAAATCAGAGCATATTTTTTGTTTGTTTTTGAGATAGAGTGAGACTCTGTCTCCCTGGGTAGGGTACCATGGCGTCACAGCTCACAGCAACCTCCTGGACTCAAGTGATCCTCCTGCCTCAGCTTCCTGAGTAGCTGAGACTTCCTGAAGTGCCACTATAACTAGTTTTTTCCCCCTATTTTTAGTAGAGATGGGGTCTCACTCTTGCATAGGCTGGTCTTGAACTCCTGAGCTCAAGCTGTCTACCTACTTTGGCCTCCCAGAGTGCTAAGATTACAGGCATGAGCCACCACACCTGAGCATTTTCTTCTGACTTGAGTGTTTCATTAGCTCTCATTCATATTTCTCTCCCTTTTAAAAAATATTCTAGAGATGGGTCTTACTCTGTTGCCCAGGTTGTCTTAAATTTTTGGGCTTAAGCAACCTCACATCTGAGCAGCTCACATGCCACCATACCTGGTTCCTGTTTCTCTTTTGTAATAAAGAAGTAATGAAAAGATACCTGTCCTAATAACTGTGTATATGAACTTGAATTATTCTATCCCTAGAATTGCAGTTTTTTACTCTGAGAAAAGCTTGTCCTTGTACTGGAGAGACTCAGGGGGCATATGGCCACCCTTAAGACACCTTGGTTCCTTGTGAAAAAAGGGAAAGGCTCAGTCCTATGTGTTTTTTCCCCAAAGACAGTGTCTCATTCTGTTGCCCTGGATAGAGTGTTGTGGCATCATGGCTTATAGCAACCTCAAACTCTTAGGCTCAAGTTATCTTCTTGCCTCAGCTTCCCAGGCTGCTAGGCTTACAGATGTGAGCTGCTGGGCCCAGACTGTTTTTTTTTTTGAAACGGAGTCTTATTATGTCCCCCTTGGTAGAGTGTTGTGGCATCACAGCTCACAGCAACCTCCAACTCTTGGGCTTAAGTGATTTCTCTTGCCTCAGCCTCCCAAGTAGCTGGGACTACAGGCATCCACCACAACACCCAGTTATTTTTTGTTGCAGTTGTTTTAGTAAGCCTGGACCGGGTTCAAATCCACCAGCCATGGTATATGCGGCTGGCGCTGTAACCACTGACTATGGGTGCCGAGCCCCAGCCTGTTTGTTTTAATGTTACTCTCCCTCTTTTTTTTGAGACGGAGCCTCAAGCTATCCCCCTGGGTAGAGTGCTGTGGCATCACGCTCACAAGCAACCTCCAACTCCTGGGCTCAAGCGAGTCTCCTGCCTCAGCCTCCCGAGTAGCTGGGACTACAGGCGCCTGCCACAACGCCTGGCCATTTTTTGGTTGCAGCCATCATTGTTGTTTGGGCGGGCCCGGGCTGGATTCGAACCTGCCACCTTAGGTGTATGTGGCTGGCGCCTTAGCCGCTTGAGCCACAGGTGCCGAGCCTACTCTCCCTCTTGATTCTGGGAAGCAAGCAAGCAGCTGGAGAATAAGATTGAGGATGGGGTAATGGTGCCAGTTTGGGTGACAGAAGGATAGAAAGAGCTCTCCTGACTTGGACAATGACACCACTAGCGTGTGGATGCAGGCTGACAATGGGGACATAGTAACTGTCTGGTTGTTACATTCATTACTACAAATAGAATCTGATGGCTTCTCAAAAGCCACAGAACCCCCTCTGTAGGGCCACACCTGGGGCTGTGCACAGAACCACCTCAGGGGTGTCCTTCACCTAGACTCTAGGCAGGTGTCATCTCCAAACTGCATGGCTGTTTGCAGCTGTCCTGCTGTATGCAATCTCTTTAGAATGAGGTTATCAGAGTTGATGAAGTTCAAATTTACTGTAGGTCTTAAATTTTAAAAGGTGCCAGCTGTCCTGACACCCTAAGCTACTTCCTGAACACTCTTCTTTCATCTACCAGCAACATATACTAAACCTAAGATCCCAGGATTAGATGCTATTAGCCACATGGAGTATTTCTTTTATAATTAATAACAGGGTATTTCCGTGTCAGCAGTGTTCTAGTTTGAGATTTTAGTCGCAACATGAGATTACAGTTAATTTTCCTTTCTCAATCAAGGGAATGTGTCAATATGTTATAAAACAGCATGACCACTTCTCACTGCACGCTAATGGTCACTTCATAAGGGCTAAACTATAAAGAGCAGCCAAACACTGGGCTAATATAAATTTTTAATATGTCAGAACTTAGTGCCAATGGCAATAAATCAAAAGCAAAAAAAAAAAAAAGCAAGTTAAAACTCTCATCTAATACATTCAATAGAAGAAACCAGAAAATTCCACGATAAAAATATGTAAAACGAACGAGCCAATACTAGACAGCTGGGGCTGATTCTCACTGTTTTCCTTCTGTGGTACATTTTCTAATTTTTTTCTCTTTGTACTTTATACAAGCTGGCGACTCTTTCACAGTAACACAGAGGCCCTGACTAGGCGTGGATCTGCAGAGGAGGGCTGCGTGGCCACATGCGGTGGTCCTTCTAGGGAGCCCCCTCCACATGCAGGCCCGTTCGCTGTACTCACCTTCCTCTCAGGAACAAACCCTAACATGTCTGGAAATACAACCACGAGGGGCACCAGGAACAAAGGTCCCATGGGGCAGAGGAGAGGCCTGCACTGTCCATTGCTCACTGCTGATGTACGCGTGCCAAGGCAGGCTTGGGACCCGCCAACACGCAGCATTGACATGACCAAAAATGCCAGAGCTTTCGGAGGTTACACAGCATACATGCAGAGCTTGGAGCTGCCAGGCTGGGCGCCTGGCTGATCTCTTTAATCCCATAGCTGGAGATGCCACCTTCTTGCCTAACCAGCAGAGCCTGCATCCCACTTCTTCACAGTCCTCAAGATACACTGACTGGCCTTCCCTCATTCTGGCAACAACCCTGGTGCCTCTGTGAGTTTAGCAGGCAGTGCCATGTCTGTCTGTGGCTGGCACGGCAGCCTGCCCCTTGCCATCCTGCGCTGCACCCTTTCCCACACCACTCACCTGTCCTCCATAGCAGAGCACCAGTATCAGACCAGAGCAATAAACAGGAAGATAATCTATATTTATTTGGCTTTCTATCCAAACCAAGGACACATTTATAAGGCTATCATTTAATTTTATTTATTTTATTTTTTATTTTTTGAGACAGAGCCTCATGCTGTTGCCCTGGGTAGAGTGCTGTGGCATCATAGCTCACAGCACCCTCCAACTCCTAGACTCAAGCGATTCTCCTGGCTCCGCCTCCCACAGTAGCTGGAATTACAGATGCCCGCCACAACGCCTCGCTATTTTTTTGGTTGCAGCTGTCATTGTTTGGTGGACCCAGCTGGATTTGAACCCGCCAGCTCAGGTGTATGTGGCTGGTGCCTTAGCCACTTGAGCCACAGGCACCGAGCTAAGACTGTCACTTTAAAGAACCACAGAAGCAAACATATGGTTCCAACTGGTCATGCTTCAAGTGGGAAAACTACATTAATGTTTTGGGAACTATCCCTGTGGCCTTATTAGTGTTATGTACCTATGGTAATATAGCTTACCATGTAATAAAATGCTGTGATGAAACTTGTCAGAGATGACATTTCCATGAAAAAACATAATCTACTAATAAATCCAGCAAAACACTCACCCCAATCCATTCCTATTTTCCCTACACTCACTACCTCTTATGCTGCTCTGGAGGATTAGAAAAGGCCCATGGAATGTGCCTTATAACACTCCTGCCTGACAGCCCAACCCAGCGCCCCTGACGTCGAGAGACCTTCCAGCAGAGAGGCAAGTGGCGCCCCCTCCTCCTCACCTCCACTCTTGAGGAGGTAGCGGTTGACATCCTGGATGGTGGTATTGATGGTAGGTCCAGTGGGGACACTGCCAGGAGTGACGTCAGGGTCATTCTCGGGATCAATATTCTGAAGTCCTTTCCATGGAACTCCAGGGTGGAATTCTGTTTATGGAAACCAAGACGAGAAGCCACACATCAGAGCAGCTGCACATTGCTTCATGACATTCTCAAAGGTTTTTTTCTCCCCTGTTTGTAGAAATTTTTATAATCTGCTAATTAAATAAAGAGGCACATTTTAGACTTTCATTATAGCAATCAATCTTTTGTAACAATCTAGAGTGAGGTGTTATGGTTACCACATTAAGACAGTTTCCAGACAGGGTGTGAGTAATTTTACCAACAGCATACCGCTCCTCCCCACACACCCTGCCTCCCCGCCCCCCCCGCCCACCCCGTATAGTGAATTAAGGGACTACAGAAAAACACTGATGCCAAGCAGACCCCAGATTGATCTGACACATGCATTTACAGTGGAAATGCCCAAGCTGTAGGCTTAGTGTGTCCAGAATTCTCAGCTTGGGTTTCTGCTTCTCTCGGGCTTAATCACACTCCTCAGCATGTTCTGACCCACTGTTATACAAAGGTGTTGCCTGGTCTTACCTGGGGGCCAGTTGATGCTGGAGCCATTTGAGATTTTATCACTGTCAGATTTGGCACGTGACCAGCTATGGGGAACAGCTACAGGAGGACTGGCTGGTGACTCACTGTTCTGGATTAAATCGTACCGGCCGTATGAGTCGTCAATGGAGGACTTACCTGGAGGCCCAATGCTCAGACCTCCAGGGATAGCACCTGTGAGCCAACAAGAAGCACAGAACTGAGTGAGCACTCTTCACGGGAGATGCAGGATGCCCTGCCAGCCTTCCCAGCTAGGTCTAATGCCTTGCACTTACAAGGCTTGGTCTGTTGGGATTCTCTAAGATTCAGAGACTGTTTCAGACAGCTCAAACTCTGTCCTTGGAAGACCAAAACCCTTGAAGGCCTGCTTAAGTCGGAAATCTCTGTAAAACACATATCCAGGGTTGCACCTGTAGTATAGTAGTTATGGCGCCAGCCACATATACCGAGGCTCACAAGTTCAAACCCAGCCCGTGCCTGCTAAAACAACGAGAACTGCAACAAAAACAATAGCCAGGCTTTGTGGCAGGAGCCCATCATCTCAACTATTTGGGAGGTTGAGGCAAGAGAATCGCTTGAGCCCAAGAGTTTGAGGTTGCTGTGAGCTGTGATGTCACAGCACTCTACCCAGGGTGACAGCTTCAGTCTTTGTCTCAAACCCCCCCCCAAACAAACAAAACCCCCCACACATGGGAAGCTGCCCATAACGACCCTTCCTGGGGGCGACTTGACAAACTCTGTGGTTAGCCACTGGTTCTGCTAATCCCAGGTTTGTTGTCTCTGCGCCCTCTGGTTAGCCCGCTACCCTCACTATGGAAGAACAATTTGGCGACTAAATTCACACAGACCAAACCAACCAGCCACAGCCAATAGAGCTGTCTCCTGCTGGAGAAAGTACCAGAATTCATGAAGATTTTCTGTAAATAGACCATTAGAAGTAATTTTTTTCTTTTTAGAATGCATTACATAAAGAGAAAACAATATAAACTATTAAATTTACTTTGCTATTTATTCTATCAGGAAGTTCAGAGTTGATTTAATGCTTAATAGTGAGGTTACTTTAGTATTTCTGCTTCTTTCCTCCGTCCTAAGCATTTGATTTTATATTTGTGTTTTATCATCTTACTGAAAAACCTTTTAAGCAGATTCAATTTTTTGGTTGGCAAACACAGATACAAACAAAAACCGCCCAGCTACGACCTATATTCTTTGCTGTTCTTGGGCATTTTCAATTATTTCTAGGTTTTTACCTAAGATCTGATGGTTGGGATTCAAGAAATTTGATGCGTTCAAGAAGTATGACTATGCTCAGCACCTGTAGCTCAGTGGTTGGGGCTCTAGCCACATACAATGGAGGTGGAGGGTTCGAACCCAGCCTAGGCTTGCCAAACAATAATGACAACTACAGGGCATTGTGGTGGGCACCTGTAGTCCCAGCTACTTGGGAGGCTGAAGCAAGAGAATCGCTTAAGCCTAAGAGTTTGAGGTTGCTGTGAGCTGTAACGCCATAGTACTCCACCCAGGGTGACAGCTTGAGACTCTATCTCAAACAAACAAACAAAAAAGAAGTATGACTAGTTGAGATCTTATGTGCTCTGTAGTAGAATGGCATCTTTTTAATTCAACTTTTAGACTGAATTCTTAGAAATGTAGAATGAGTTTGATCCGAAGCAGGTTAATCCAATACAGAGTGGGTAGTAACCCCAAGGCAGGCACTCTAGCCAAGACCTACCATGCTTGCCAGGGTTCTGATCCAGGGGAGAAGCAGCACTGGACAGGTTATCCATGGAGTTGGGGTGTGTCCACTGAGGGAGGCGTGACTGGGACTGAGATGGGTCCTTCACTGACAAACCACTGGTCATGTCTATGCTGTTGACATTCATGTTTGGGTTCAGTCCAGCTGAAAACAGAGATGCTGTTAAGGAATGCTTACTCCTCTATGATGATTTCATTCTGAAGTTCTCCAGAGAATTATCTCAGTCTTCATTCATAGCCAAAGACTTTAACTGTAACTTTTAGCTCTGGTGAAAAAACACTTTTTGTTTTCTTAATAAACATGTATTTCTAGGAATATTATTCCTAAATTAAGGTGCAAATGCTAGCAGTCTCTAGTTAAGTAAGATCCATGATTCTCTTCATTTTACTGTTTCAGTGCTAAGGGAACATGGTTCTGAGGCTTCTCAATCAGAGTCCATAGGAATACAGAACAACTTCAAACAATTAGGAAAATCCTTTTTTAAGAAGATCTCTTTATTTTTTATTTTTATTTTTGAGACAGAGTCTTAAGCTGTCAAACTAGGTAGAGTGCCATGGCATATAGCTCACAATAACCTCTAACTCTTGGGCTCAAGCGATCCTCTTGCCTCAGTTTTTCTACTTTTAGTAGAAATGGGGTCTTGCTTTTGCTCAGGCTGGTCTCAAACTCATAAGCTCAAACTATCCACTGTGCCTGGCCAGGAAAATCTTTTCTGATTTTGAGATAGCTTAAGGAAGCTCACTAGATTAAAAACAAAACAAAACAAAACCTTTTCAGAGTTCTACAGTACCACCTGTAGAACAAACTGGTAGAGATAATTCAATTCTATCTTTAATGAGTATAAAAGTCTGTTCTTAAGAAGTTTATGAATTAAGGCTGGGCATAGCATGTGGGAGGCCGAGGCAGGTGGATCGTCTGAGCTCATAGGTTCAATACCAGTCTAACCCAGAGCAAGACCTAGTCTCTTAAAGCTGGGTGGCTTGGTGCCCATAGAACAGTGGTAGCCAGCCACATACACCGAGGGTGGTGGGTTTGAACTCGGTCCAGGCCAGCTAAACAACAACTGCAACAAAAAATAGCCAAGTGTTGTGGTGAGCCCTTGTAGTCCCAGTTACTTGGAAGGCTGAGGCAAGAGAATTGCTTAATACCAAGAGTTTGAGGTTGCTGTAAGTTGTGACACCACAGCACTCTATCGAGGGCAACATAGAGAGACTCTATCTCAAAAAAAAAAAAAGAAGAAGTGTATGAATTAAATATCCATTAAATATACAAATAGTTTATTTTAAGGAACTGAACTATTTGAGAGTGTAGGTACTCTCATCTGCCCCTGGTGGAATGGTGAGCTGTCATCTCTCTGCCAGGTTAATAAAGACGCTGGGGAAGATGGTGATACAAAGGTGGAAGCAAAGAGCTCTTGGTGGGGATGCCAGTTAGGAGTGGGACAGATGCTCAGCTGGAAGGGGGTAACCAAAAGAAGTGTAATTGGTATTTACTGGTCATTTCCTAACAGCTGCAGCTTCCATGGATACATGTACATATCCCATACCATGTGGCCACATATGCCATGTGGTATATAAGCAAAGGAAGCCTTACTACTATGGAAGGTGTTGAACACTGTGGTCCTTTATATCAGGGGCTGCAAGTTCAAATGCCTACAGGAGCCAAGTGGGCATGGTGGGGACTGTGGCAAACTGGGCAGCATCTGCCCTGTTAAAATAACCAGGTGCCACTAGGGCAGACAGTTACTGCCATACAGAACACAGACCCACTGTGGCCAGGCTGTTTTCAAGAGGATCCGGAAGTAATTTTTCCCAATTTGTGGATGCTGGCAATTAACATATGCATAAACATCCACACACATACACTTTGCAGATCAAACAAAACACCTTTGCACGTCTGATACTGGCAAGGGGCTGCCTACCTGCAATCTCTGCTTTATAGGCTACCTCTATTTCCACTCGAATAGACCTAGTCAGGCGAGGTGACAAGACCAGGGCTTTAGCCTGGCCTTCAGAGCTCTTCAAAATCCACAGTCTGGCCCCAAGCCATCTCTTTGAACGTCCTCTCTGATTTTTGTGATCCCTCTCTAGGTCAGCTAGACTGGCCTGGCCCTTGCTGCATAGCAGGTCCTCTCCTTCCCTCTCCTGGGTGTGACTTCCCCTTTATTTGAAAACTCTTCTTCCCTCTTTATTTATTGAAATCCCACAAGTTCGTGTGAAGTTTAAGCTGAAATCCCATTCTCTGATTTTTCTTTTGCCACTCAAGTGTTATCTGCTTTCCCAGTCTGCTCTTGAGGAGTTTATGAATTAAATATCACTGCACATGAAGATCATTTTTTCCTGTTTATATATCTGATTCTTCCACATAGGCAATAAACTCTAAGATGGAAGGAACTGACAATAACAAACAGAGGCTGAACATAGAAGAAAAAAGGTTGAGTGGGAGCCTTGGGCTGCTGGCTTCTTTATGTGACTCGTTCAGTTTTTTTTTTTGAGATGGAGCCTC